GCCAATTTTGTCATGTCACATTGTTTATGAATATTGATTATGAAACTAATGGCTAACCTTTCTCTTGATTGAGATCTTAGCAGCTTAAGCTATATTGATAATCAATTGGCTAAATGATTTCAAAAAAAAAAACTTGTTTAAGATCTTTTAAAAGTCTTTTTGATTTAACAAAAAAGGGGAGAAATGTTAAAGTATTTTTAAAGGGGAGAAGTGTTAAAGTAAGGGGGAGTAATTTCAAAAGTGTTAAGGGGAAGTAATTTCAAAACTTGATTTCAAAATCTTAAAATTACTAAAATGTTTTATATATCAAAAAGGGTGAGATTGTTGAAAACATTTTGATATTTCGATATAACAAATTAAGTTAAATGAATTTTAAGATTTTCCAAAAGATTTTCCGAGTATATTCGATATAATTATTCGAATATCAAAATATTACTCCAAATCTTTCAAATGTAATTTTTAATCCTTACTCAAGTGTAAAATTAAGTTTTAATCTTAAAATAATTTCAAAACAATTTTACAAAGTATTTCGAACCATTTTAAAACCAAAAATTCCATATTACTCAGAGGGAACCGATTCCCCCCGAGAGGGTATCGATTCCCTCTTGAATGGTTTGGCTCCGAGAAAAATAGAATGCTCGGAGGGAACCGATTACCCCCCAAGGGGGTACCGATTCCCCCTGTTTAACGGTCAAAATATTTGAATTTTACACTTAGGGAACCGATTCCCCATGAGAGGGTACCGATTCCCCCCACGCTCCAAGCTGTTTTATTAATTGATTTCACACTAAAACGGGTATATTGACTCCACTAATCATCCCCAACGTTCAGAATCATTTGAGGTGTATTTAAACAAGCTTAGAAGCCATTGATCAACAACAAGAAAACACAAGAAACAAGAATCAAGAGAGAATCAAAGAGAAAGCATCAAACCTCAAGTTTGAGCATTTCAAGCCTATTTTTCATTCAGTATTCATTTTGCTTTCAATAACACTACTTGTACTCAATTGTATTCATTTTTTAGTGTTTTTTTCTTTGTTCTAGAATTGTGCAAACAATCTACCTTGTGAAGATTTTCTTGTAAGTTTGCAAATTTGTAATCTTCTCTTTGAGAAAGAGTGTTCTCAAGAATTAGGGTATATTCTTGAGGGAGTTGTAAGGTTATCTCTTTGGCCTCAAAAGAAATAACAAATTAGTGAATTTGTTGAAAAATCCTTAGTGTGGATAGCTAAGGTAGTGGACGTAGAATTTGGTTGAGAAAGTTGAACCACTCTAAACCGCTGTGCAAATCTTTTCAATTTTCTGCAAAAGCTTCCACCAATATTTTAATTGCCAATTCACCCCCCCTCTTGGCCAATTTCATCGATCGATTAACTCAACAATTTATTTATTAGAGAAAATCATTTAATTCGAAAAGGAAATATTGAGATTTTCTCATCCTCAGACGGGAAGACTATTTTTTATATCTCTTGCCTAAAAAGAATATTCCCTCTTCGATTTATCAAAAAACGTAAATCAAATATAAATTGAATATCCGCATTTTGCATAAAATAAATTACTACATAAAAAACGCATTCAATAATTTGAATTAGAAATAAAAACGAATTAATTAGTAAAATAAATTTGATATATTTCAAGTTCACATATCAATCGAATGTCGTATCGGATCGCACTACTTCAACCAAACAATGCTTTTCACGCCCATTCTACAAAAAAATGTTCTTAAAAATATTAGAATAAAAAAAGCATTAAAATGAATGAAACAAACAATTTGTACAATCATTCAAAACCAATTACCAAGAACAAAGAATATATACATACATAAATATATAATATCCATACATGGTAAAATGTAAGGAAACAAAATCTAACCATGCAAAAATTAAATTATAAAAGTAAAATAAATAGATAATAAAAACAGTAATTAAACGAATATAATTAAAGTACAAAAAAATAAAGAGACATAAATAAACGATTAGAACATTAAATCAAATAAAATGTAAATACTGAAATTAAATAAAGAAAATAAAAATGCATAAATTTAAAAGTGCATAAAATTAAATATCAGAAATAAAATGCAATAAAAATAAAATGTTAGTAGTTAGTAATTAGCGGTTAGAAAGGTTAGTTGTTAGAAAATTAGCAATTAGAAAAGTTAACAGTTAACAGAGTCTGAACTATAATAATGTGGATCATACCCCGGATCTGATCACCACAAGGTCAACTCGAATAATTCAAACAAATTAACAAAATAAAATAAAATAAATAAAAAAAAGTTAGTGGGTAGCAGAGTCCGAACCATAATAATGTGGATCATACCCCGAATCGGATCACCATAAGGTCGATTCAAATATTAGAAACAATAAATAAATAAACAATTGTTAGAGTGCAATAAAATAAAAGTCAGTAGTTAGCAGAGTCCGAACCATAACAATGTGAATCATACCCCAGATCGAGTCACCACAAGATCGAATTGAATATTAGAAACAATAAATAAATAAATAACAATGGTTAAAGTACAATAAAATAAAAATTAGTAGTTAGCTTGAAATAAATAACATAAAAGAATAGTGACCAAATTAAAAGTTAGTAAAATATACATGCATATTTGAAATAAATAAAAAAATGTGTGACCAGAGTGCAAAAAAGACTAAAATACAGAGGGCTTAAAGGTGATTTTCCCTATAGTGGCCAAAACATGAAGTGACGCTAAAACATGAAATAAACCGGGGAGGAGTTGTTACCTGCTTTTGATTGGCTTTTAAAGCCCCCACCAATTACAAAAAGGTAATATTATAAGTTTGGTCCCTGTATTTTGTTCCCTATTTAGTTTTAGGATAAAATTGGGGTATTACATACATAAAAATAAAATTTCTTTGAAAAATGAGATATTTATAGGGTTAAAACTATTATCGGGTCGAGTATAAAGGGTTAATTTCCGGTTAGATTCGAGAAAAAAATTTAAAGTTTTACAAATCAGATCGAGTTCGAATGTTTATACCTATTTTTTGAGTCGGGTTCGTATGAATAAAAATCTGACTTGATTCGATATGCAGCCATCTCTAGTAAAAGTCCAACCGTTCCCCATACATAAGGTCAACTTTTCGATAAGGATAAATCGACAAGTAGTTGGATCGGTCCAATAAGAGACTGCGAGTAGTAGGAGCAGGATATTCGAGACGACCACCCCATGAAAGACGCGTACGTTAAGAGACTCGAGGCATGCGTAGGATGAAATGGAAAACCGGAGTCTTGACTTTATTATCAATCTCCATAGATAGCTTTATAACACAATTTTTTTCCTTTTATTTTCACGTCACTCGTATTATTATATTTTAGGGTAAAGTACACAAATGGTCCCTCGCGTATAGGATAATACTTTGTTGAGTCTACTGATTATTAAAAGTTACAAAATGATCCCTTAACTATAGGATGTTGCTTCGTTGTGTCTCTCGACTATTAAAAGTTATAAAATGGTCACCCGATTATTCATTACGCTCCAAACTCGTCATTTTTCGTTATAAAATTAACGACAGTATGAGATGGATTTTACTTTGTTGTTTGAGATACGATAGTCGTTTGAGATTCTAGAATAAGATTTTATCATATCTCAGAAAGAAGATTAATATACAACTCAGATTGTCGTCCATTTATTTTTAAAGAAAATGGTCAAATTTGGAACATAATGAAAAGTCAAGTGATCATTTGTAACTTTTAATAGTTGGAGACTCAACAAAGCAACTCCTATAGTTAAGGGATCATTTTGTAACTTTTGATAGTCAGAGAACTCAACAAAAAAATACCTTATAATCAAGGGACAATTTGTGTATCTTACCTTATATTTTAAGTTAAAAGTTTTTTTTTTAACAATATTTTAAGTTAAAAGTTCTGAACAAGTAAAAGGAAAACAATCATTCTTTTTGAACTAATCATTGATATCTAATCTATTAATCGAGTAATTCAGTTCAGATACAAATAAAATAAGATTTGATTAAGTTGAGTGTAAAAGTTTTGAATTAATTAAATTGATAGATCATAATTTTCATCAATCATCTAATAAATATGTAAGAGTTTATGGTTAGTGTATGTATTATTGCAGATGGAACAAACGGATTCTGTTGACCGTAAGTGATTCACCTATTCTAATTGAATCGTGATCAGGGAAAGAACGATCATTATCCGATGTTTTTGTGTTACAAGAGGTTGATCATAAAGACGAGAAAGAAGAAAGAGGATTGTTGCAAAAGGAGCCACCCTTCTCGGTTGAGTCGAAGGATTATTTATAATAAATTTTAGTGCGCGTGTCAATTTCAAGATAATATTGGGTATTTGCAAGCTGACCAGATTAGACAAATATAGTAGTCAGACATTTAGCTTTTGTTATGATATGTCACGTGGAATTATCGGTTAACTGGAAGTATGTGTTTGTGGGATGCAAACTAACTAGAAATTTTAGTGGATGGAGATAGGGTTAGAGACCATCTTCAGAGATACAACGGCTATGTAAAATTTTAATCGGTGCACTCTAATGTATTCAATTTTAATTTCTGTACTTTTTAATATCTAAAATTTTAATTATAATTCAAATAATATAATTAAATTACGTGATTTAAAATTATCAAACTAAAATTTTAATAATAATTCAAGCTACACTATTGGAATTGAAGTTAAACTGTCCAACTCATCTATTTAGGTGGCTTTTAATCTTAAATTTTAGAAACCAAACATTTTCTCAAACAGGGTTAAACGAAGGGTTAGAAAGTAGATCAGAATTAGTGTAGTTTCAAAAGAGTAAAAGAAGGGTACAGTATATAAATAGTTTTTAAATTTTATTAAAAATAATCGGAAATTATAAATTTAAAATTTTGAAGATAATTTATAACGGTGTAATAGGTTTACTTTATAATTATAAATTGTGGACTTGACCTTAAAAAATACGAACTGAGCAAAGCAAAGCAAAAGACTAAAAGCCGAACGTTGTTAGATGCTATCCTGAACTTACTAATTTTACCCTCTCTATCGTGCGCACACATGGGAGGAGATGTAACCGGAACATTCATTAACGCCGTCGCCCCTTCCTACGGTGGAGGGCCGGCTGAACCTCAGTACGTTTCGGCGAAGACGTCGGTTTGGTGGGACATAGAGAATTGCCAAGTCCCGAAGAACTGTGATCCGCACGCGATCGCGCAGAACATTAGTTCGGCGCTGTCTAAGATGAACTACTGCGGGCCAGTTTCCATCTCCGCCTACGGCGACACTAATCGGATCCCCTTTTCCGTGCAGCAGGCGCTATCAAGCACCGGCATCGCACTCAATCATGTCCCCGCCGGTAATTCGAGATCTTTAACTTCCTTTATTTCATAATCACCTTAGTAAATCAAGATTGAATTGTTGTTTCCTATCGACTTAATCGCTAAGTAATCTTTGTTTCTTATAGACTTAATCGCTAAGTAATCATTGTTTCTTTTTGTTTTCTTGTGAACTTGAAAACTGGTTTACTTTGCGGATTTTCTGATATAGGGTTTCAACTTGTTATATTGATTTTGAAATTAAGACTTAGATGTTTTAGAGCTAGTGTTGTTGATTAGTTCGGGTTTTTACTTGGGCAGGTGTGAAAGATGCCAGTGATAAAAAGATTCTAGTTGATATGTTGTTTTGGGCTGTGGATAATCCTGCCCCTGCAAATTATTTGTTGATTTCTGGCGATAGGGATTTTTCTAATGCGCTCCATCAGTTACGAATGAGGAGATATAATATTCTTTTGGCGCAACCTCTGAAGGCATCTGCAGCCCTTGTTGCTGCGGCCAAGAGTGTATGGCTTTGGACGAGTCTTTCGGATGGTGGTCTGCCTCTTTCAAGTGGTGAATCAACTAAACTTGCTAATGGTCGGAATAGTTTTATCTCTGAAATGTCATCGTATAATCCAATTCCTGAGACGGTTTCTGGTTCCGAAAATGTTACAATGGGGCAAAATATATCTAATGCTGGAAGGAATGGTGATATCAAATACGAAGGGAAATATATCAGGAAAACCCCATATCAGCCAACCAACTTAAGAGCTTCTAGTGTTGCAACAACTACCATTCAAGAAAATATGAACAATGGCTATTCTTACCAGCCAGAGTATGCACAGACAAAGTCGTTTAAGAAAGCACCGCATGAATTTTTTGGTGGTAGTGAGCCAGCTGTTTCTGCAAGCTGGTCTACTCCAAACCTTTTCCCCAGCGATCCTAATCCTTCAGGGAGTAACAATGCTAATTTTGTTGGCGTTCTGCAGAATCATCATCCTCATTCAGTGGGACCAAATAATCTTCCTCTGCGACCAGCTTTTCCACAAGATAATTTCCTACCCCTGAATCCACAAAATCATGGTTTCCACCCGATACCTCCTGGAGTGGAGGGGCCTAGATTTCCTGCCCCATTCTCAAATATGCTTGATGTTGCTAAGTTAAATATCTCTGAACGCTCCACCTATCCTCAAAATGGTAATAATTTTCCTCATCAAATTGGAGAAAACTTCAAAACAAGCTCTATCGAGTCATTGCCTAATCAAACTGGCCTACATACACCACAAAGAAGCCATTTATTCCACAATGGACAAGCAAGTCAGCATGATACTTATACTAATAGGTATCCACGAGGTCCTGAATTTCGACCCCGGACATCCTCGGCAATTTCAAGTTCTCGTAGTAATGGTGTTTGGGGAGCTGAAGGACGTTCCCCACCTTCTGAATATGTTCAAGGTCTTATTGGTGTTATCCTATTTGCATTAAACACACTCAAAAATGAAAAAATGATGCCTACTGAAGCAAACATTACTGATTGCATTCGTTATGGAGATCGAAAACACTGCAATACTAATGTAAGGAAGGCTTTGGACAGTGCAATTGAGCAACAAATGGTATTGAAGCAAAGTTTAGGAGCAATGCAGTTGTATGTTGGTAGAAATGAGAAACTATGGAAGTGTGTCAATCTTATTGGTGGGAATCCTAACCAGTACCCAAAGACAACGTGGGATGGAATACAAAAGTTTTTGTCATCCCCAAATGGACGATCAGCAATGATGGCTTCTCAATCCAGGTAATATGCTTTATGTTTTTCCTCTCTCTTTCTCTCATGTTTCCTATTTTTAATTGTTCCTAGGCTTTACTGGGACTATCCCTTAGCTTAATTTTGTAATCAACATTGCAGATATGAAGCGGCTTTAGCTTTAAGAAAAGCGTGCTTGGAAGATTTATGTTTAGGTAATGTTCTCCAGATATTAAATATGATAATTGCATTGAAGAAATGGATTATACATCATCAGTCAGGATGGCAGCGAATTACAGTAACCCTTCCAGAGACTAGAACAGAAATAGTTACTGAGACTGCTGCTTGATCTGGTCAAAAGTGGTTTTGATACTGAAAGTGACCCAAATGTGGTGAAAGATTGTGTTTAGGGAATTGGTTGAGGGAGGAGGGTGGGGTGGGGTAAGAAACTAGAGTGACTTTCGGAAAGAATATTAAGTATCAAGACCGAGGGGCAAATGTGTTTTGGGATAACGAATGCAAAAGTAAGAATAGATTTCTTTTCATAATGTTTTTTTTTGTTGTCATTTTTCCGTTTTAGTATTTGCTGGGAGACTAAGATAAGGAGTGGCTGAAGTAGTTAAGGTAATGTTGGGATTAGACTAGGGATTTCCAGTTAGGAGCTGATTTCTGCATCTCAAGCCTGAAGATTTTTTTGGCAGTGCTTATGTGCATTTGGTATATTACAAGCAATCCCTAATAGTTATATGAGTCTTTCTTCTCTCCATCACAATATAGTTAGAATTTTACTGCTTGGTATAGTGTCTTTTTGTGTCAACAATTGATTCCATGCTGCTGTATGAGCCGGATCTAGTTTTTCTATGCCATCAGCAGTATCTCCTCATCTAGATCATCGTACTCTACGAAACTTTTGAAGATGTAATGAAACATCCAGATCTTGTTGGAGGGGTTCTTGATCAGCTGCTGCCCAATGAGGGGTATAAATAACGATAGATATGATTTTGACATTACCAGTCAAAGCTTAGCAAATCTCATGGAAGTATGAATATGGTAAGTACTTAAAGCAATCATGGGCAATGGATTACATGGCTTAAACTTGTCAATTAAATGTATTAGATTGAACTTTGTGGTGTTTACAATGGAAATGGTTGTACCCCTAATGCTATTAAGTACATACTTTTAAACGTTTTGAAGTTTAAATTGGCATAGTAACTATTTGCATTTATGGATATCTCAATGTCTGATCATGGACTCTCCGGTCAAATTTAGCTATGTGGTTCCGCGAGCATCGAAATCACCCTTGTGGGAGATTTGGTCATTGCTTTAGCTAGATTCTTTAGCCCTTTGGGCTATGTTCTTTTACCAAACAAGGTAAAGGATTTATATGTAAATAATTTACAAAAACAGATGGTCGAGATTAATTTCATGTTTTTGTTTTTGAACGAGTATCTTCTCATTTCCTAGTGTCATCTTAATCACTTATTTTCATTTATCCAACGATCTTACATCTATATATGATAAAATTGAAAGAATTTTACATTGTGTAAGAAGATTTTAACACTTTTAAAAATATTATTGTCATATAATTTGTGTCTTGTATTGATTATGTATATAGTTTTAAAAGATATATTTAACCAAGAGCAATGATAAAATTATTCTTAAAAAGTGATTGATTGATTTGTTTTGATAAGTGTAAAAGAGAGATATATAAGAGTAAAAAAATAAAAATGTTATTATTTATTGTTTTTTTAATAAGATATTTTGAATGAGATAATTTTAAAATTAAAGGAGACATAATTTTCAGACTAAAAGAGATACACTTAATAAGAGAGATGGAATAATTTTTGTGAAACTTAAAACATTCAAGCTGCCATAATTTAAATAAATGTCAAATTTCTGATGTAATATAGTAATTTTAATTCAAAATTATTATACACAAAATTTTAAACATTTATGAAATCAATGAAATTTAGACACTACAGTACACCACAATGCGTTTTACTTAACACGTGGCTCCATGGCAGGAGCTCGACGACGTACATTCACAGTAATAATATATTGGTATTCAAAATTGATGTACCTACGGTCATTGAACTGTTTAATTTTTTTAGTTTTTATTTTATGTCTCATTGAGATTTAATTCATTGAAAATTTGGACATATAAGCGGTTTAATTCTTTAATCAATTGATTCATTTTCAATATTAATTGTTCATCATTTCATCAAGTAGATTCAATTTCCAATCCACTTAGCCGGAAGATTAGTTACATTTAATTGAAAGGGAAATTGGTGACATTTAATTGGGATGTACAACTGTTGGCAAGAGCAGGAGGGTGGTTCTTCAATGTCCAGGTTGAGATAAAAGCAGCCTTCATCCTAAAACCAATTTGGCTACCGAGCATAGAATACCAGGCTTCCGTCTACATCGACAAAAATGTCGATATCAAAAGTACATTATCCCTGTTATTAGTGTCCAAGAATTACAAAAACCAACACCAACAGAACGACCTCAGTGATAAAGGAATTATCGTTATTCCTTGAGGTTTCGGATTCGAGCACAAGGAGTGTCAGGAGTGTGAGCGTTCAATCTCAAATGGTTGAAAGTTATCTCAAAATAACTCTCAACCAGATGCATAAGCTTAGAGAAAATTGCATTCGAACAACTTAAAGTGAAGGTGGAATAAAACCTGTGTCACTGCACAACACATCCGATACGTACTAAGGCTCCCAATGGTAGAGGCGAACACAACGAGACCACAATAAAACTGTACAATTTCCAGCTCAGAATTTTAGTCAGGGTTGCTTTCTACAGGTCCCGAGAAGATGAAAATACAGACTATTTAGGCCCCCTAAACATATGTATTGTAATGTTCAGCCAAAGTGTGACTTACTCATCATGCTGCTAGTTACCTGGTAGCATTTCATCACCCAAGTCAAATAGTTTCCATAAGACCGAAAATAAATTTCAAATCCGAATCAAAATATGATTTCTTCTTCCCCCATAAGCCTTTGGCACTGCTCTTCTGACGTGTGAACATGTAGCTAAAGAAGAAAGGCCACTCCTAAATATAAAGGAAAAAATACCATAAAGAAAATATAGTTCTAATACTTCTGAAAAAAGAAATCACCTGACCGAGCCTTCCCCTTCTGTAGCTGTGACAATCATAACATGCAATTTCAAGGTTTCACTCAGCTAATGCAATAGTACAAATCATGGCCGATTGATGAGGACTCGATGCACTCACCTACTCGATCCAATTCCATCGAGTAGAAATTTGAGGTTTAGGATAACAAATGACTAAGCTATACAAAGAAGGAAAAGGAACAGATGCAATGTTCAAAGAGAATGCTGCAATATCAAGCAGAGCAATTATCATCACTAAGATGTGAGTTCTAGAAAAGTACATCCAAAAATGGCAAACGGTCAAGTGCGAAGAGGTAAATAAAATTGACAATCATAACAGTGTGAAGGAGGCTGTATAAGCTCGATGGTACCAATTGTGGGGATTGATGCAGACAGATGAGCTCCCCTACTAAAGAATTGCCATCAAAAGGAGAAGAAAATTTGAAATAATGTTGGTGACATGTTAATACTTTGACAACGATATATGGCACAACAAATTACAATTATAAGAATTGGTCTTTTGACAATGTCAAATTACTTCTTTTTCTATTAATATCCAATTACTGGAAACAGATATCTCATGGCTTACTCGAAGATTAATGAGCCACATTGAAGATAAAACTAATCTGTCAAATCATCATCAAGAAAATCAAGGCCATCATCATCAGTGGTAACACCTCCAGCAGAAGGGATAATATCCATTGGTTCAATAAAACCAGCAATTGTGACCATTTCTGTAGGTCTCTTTTCTTTACACTCGCATTCAACCATATCATCCCCGCAAAATTGTTCCACCTCATTATAAATGATTTCCTAAATCAGGAAAATTGATTCAAGAAAGCATTAAAAATTGGCATATCCTAAAAGAAAACAATTTAAATGGAAATGAAAGGTACCTCATCTTCTGGCATGGCTAGCTTCCGAGTCTCCACAAGCCAGTCATCCAATACACTTTCTAACATGGAACTGTCAAAGGAAACCAACTCATCAGGCTTCCTTCCTAGTTGGCGTTCTCTCAGTCTCAAGTTATAGTGAACAAAGGTCTGGTCACTCAATCTCTTCCGGGACAAACAGTTGCGTCTTTTGATGTGAACCTGGTCAAATGCACTCCAGTTATGCTCACACCCAATTGATGAACATGTCTGGCTTAGTATGCGTATGGCAATTCGTTGTAGCTCTAAGCAACTTATCCCATGTTGTTGCCACCATGAAGCTAACAATGAAACAGAAATTAGCAAAAATTTTCAACCAACATGAAAAATCAATTTTTTTTATCAAATACAAGTTATTGAACAAAAAGGTCTGCATATAAAATCCTGAATCACCTGGATCAAGTTCGTTTCTAGTACTTATGGCCAAATCAGTTCCAAAATCAGCTTTTGCTGACACAAAATCAGGTATCTGATAAATGAAAAGCAAAAGAAAAAAATCCAGTCAAATTAGAGGGCCACAACTCCTTCCACAGCAATCAATGTGGCTCCGTGGATAATTAGATCTGTCATTGATTAACATATTAGATGTAAAATCTAGCAGAAATAAGAAACCATTACCTGCATGGATGCAGAAATTTTTTTCCCATTGTCTGCCTCCAATCGAACAATACACTCATTTAAACCACGAATTACTTCAGGATTCTTCAGTAACACGAACAAGAAGTTGAAATTAAGCATGGAAGAAATACGCAATCAAGAAAAGATAAGGGTCAAGTAGCAGTATATATAGTTTAGTACCATTAGAAAATCTGGGCGGTACCGATAGGACGGATTGAGAAAGTATGCAGCAACATAAAGAGGATGATGGAACAATGAACTCCAATTACTATCAATCACACTCCAAAAAGGCCCATATTTACGAACATCATCACCATGAATGGCTCTAATTGCAAGCTTTGTTCTATAGATGTCATTATATATAAATGGCATTGATCGGATTTTATCACTACCTATTTTCTGAAGAACTTCAGCAACTGGTTCTAAGGATTTCTGCACATACAGCATTTTCTTCCAAAATGGGACATTTAAGACAATTTTTTCAATTTCTTTACCTTCATCTAATTTGGAAAAGCGGGAAGAAAGCCATCTATTTGATTGGAACATTCTCTTAAGACCAACTCTCTGGTCCAACAAACTCTGTAAAGTGAAAAAGTTAGTGGCAAACTTTGTAACAGCTGGCTGAAGAAGTTCCTGTCCCTTTGTAAATTCTGTCTTCACAAAATTCAACAACCACACATTGTTATAAATAAACCTTGTCACCTTTTTTGCTTTCTCTATGCATTCTCCCACCCATTTTATATTCACAAAATCT